AACAGTTGGGAAGCCTCCCCACAAGGGAGTCAGGCAGGAGGGGAAAGGGTCTAGGCTTTGAAGGTGATGCCCTCGTTGCTGGAACCAGGGAGAGTGCAGCTCTCAGGATGAGACCCCCAGCCGGCAGGATACGGCTTTCTCTGGGAAGACCACCAGATCACATCAGGTTTTCCCACCTGGTCACAGAGGAACAAGGGGACCAGCCAGCCAGCGGGGCTCTGGTGGCAGCCAGGTGAGCCCGGAAGTGGAGGTGTGACCATGGGCCAGGGGAGGGACACTCTGCGGTTGATGCAAAGTCGTCTGGCAAGTGTAGGCGGCATCCAGCCTTCCCACCCTGAGAGCACCTCCAGGAGTCTGGTCCTGCTAGCAAGAGCCAGGGGCTGCCTCCTTTGCAGAGGCCAGACCTCAGTATAGACCCACCCCATGAGTTGGGTCCTGGATGCATGGCCAGGGAGAACAGAGACCCCCCCCCCACCCTGGTGTGTTCTGTTGTGCACCTTCTGTGGCATGAATGGATGGCACCTTGAGGGGGTGGTCAGCCTTACTGCACCCCAAACCAGCTGTGTGACCATGGGCAAGTCACTTAACCTTTCTGGACCTTGATATTCCTGTGCCTACATGGGGACAATGATGGGGGTCAAAGTCTTTCTATGGTTTTGAGGTTTAAATGAAAGAATGTTAATGAGGCTTCTTCTTGGGTGGAGAGTCCTGGGTTCAGCCTGAGGGTTCAAGATCAGCCGCCACCGTTTTCGTAGTGAATAGCTGCAGGAAGCAGGGACTTCTGTCAGGAGACCCATACCTTGTTCTAGCTGATCTACTCTCGTGGAGCTGCCTTAACAGAGAGCTCATCCTCCATCCACTGCTCCTTCCATCCACCCCCCACCCATATACCCTCTACCCACCGCCCACCCACCTATCCCCCCACCCACCCTTCCTTCCATCTGCCCACCCTCCACCCGTCCATCCGCCCCCCATTCACCACCCACCCACCCTTCCTTCCATCCACCCTCCACCCACCCATCCACCATCCATCCAGCTCTCCATTCACCATCCATCCTCCCATCTATCCACCCTCCCCGTCCACCATCCATCTGCCCTCCACCCACCCATCTATCCATCCATCTACCTCCCCATTCACCATCCATCCACCATTCCTTCCATCCACCCCCTACCCACCCATCTACCCATCCATCCACCCCCCGATCCACCACCCATCCACCCCCCCATTTACCATCCATCCACCCCCCATCTACCCATCCATCCACCCATTTACCACCCATCCACCTCCCCATTTACCATCCATCCACCCTTCCACCCCCCCCCCCCCCACCCCACCCCCATTCACCATCCATCCACACATCCAACCTCTATCCTTCATCCATATTGTACCGAGGACCTGCTGTGAGTCAGACGCGGGCTGGGCACTGTGTGTCAGGCCGCAGTGAAGACATGGTCTTCGTTCTCAGAACTCACAGCAAGCTGGGGAGGAGGAAGTCAGGACATCATCAGCTACAGGGGTCGGAGAGCAAGAGCTAAGGAGCCCAGGGAAGGAGGGGCACCAGGAAGAGGAATGACTCAGGCGGGAGCTTCCAAAGGGCTGTGGTCTCTGAGCCGTGGGTCATCTGGGGGACCCAGCACTTTGCAGGCCCGAGTGTCACGTTGGCTCCGCCTGGGTCAAGGTCCGGGTGTGGCTGGGGTCCAGGAGTGCCCATTCCCTGGCCACCATCCTGACGCAGCTCCCTGCTGGTGATGCTCTGCTCTGGGTCCTGGCCCCCAGCACAGAGGCCTGCCAGCACAGAGGGAGGGAGGAGGGCTGTGAAGGAGTCCGTGAACGTGGATGGCATTTCCCTCTGTCGTGAGCAGGCTGCTGAGGCCTGAGCGGTGCCTATGATCTTGTCACCTGAAGGCAGTGTGGGTGCTTCCGCATCCCATCCTGGCTCTTGCAGATTGTCTGAAAATAAGGCTTATGCTCGTGGCTCCCTCACCATTGGGGTGGTCGCTGGGCATGCCCCAACCTGGCTATGTGATGCAGGAGGACAAACCCCGGGCTACGATGCTGCAGGCTGGTTCTTTAAACATTTTAACCACTGTGTTTCCATATTGTTGATTTTGTTGGTTTTTCTATTTATTCCATTTTATGCAGGTAAAACCTTATTCTGGAAGGGGTGCCTGGGCAGAACCGGAAGCCAGAGGTGTCCACGGGACAGCAGGGCTGAGACCCAGCCCCTGACCTAGAGTGACAAAAACCAACAGTACCAATAAATAATTATAATTAAGGCAAAATTAACAGGTGATGCCTCTGCCCCCATCACTCCTGGTCCAACCCTGATGGTCCCTTTGGTGCTTGGGCCGCCTCGGATATGTGTGTGGGGGGGTCCTGGTGAAAAGCACCCACAGGGCCACAGGGACACTGGGATAAGGCGAGCGGGCACCCCTTTGTCAGCTGCTCCCCGCAATTGAGGGAGCAACACCTGCTCTGGCCTGGGGGCCGCTTAGGAGCCCGAGGACCCCACGTCAGGCTGAGAGCAGAGGGCAGGGTGCAGCCTCTCTGACAGGGCTGCCTCTGGGACTGGAGGGCCCTGCCTCCTGGCAATGACCAGCGCCTCTCCCTGGCCAGTGGCTTCCCCAGGGTTGGCATCAGGGCCCTCCATCACCTGCTCTCTGAGACATGGAAGGCCCTGTGCCCCCCAACACGCCTCCCCTTCCATGCTAGGAGGCCTTGCTTAGCCCCCGGCACCCCACAGAGCCCTGCACGGGAAGGCAGGAGTGCGGCCCGGCCTCACCTCTTCCCAGCTGCGGGCCTTGGCAAAGTTACTTAGCATCTCTGGTTTCCTAGTCTGGACTAGACAGCCGCAGGTCTGACCTCAGAGCAAGCGGACAGATGAAGGGTGCTTGGCCAGCTCTGGTCCCGTCCTTGGGGCCTCATGGAGTGAGGACAGTAATGTCTTCGCATTTCTGTGTCTCAGCAGCCCCGGGCACGGTGTCCCTGGGCCTGGCCCAGTCCCTGATGCCTGAGTGCCAAGCCCAGTGTCCCTGGTGATCCTGGTGGGGGCGACAGGACCCACGTATCAGACTCTCTGAGATGCAGGTGGCAGCTTCAGTAAAGCCTTCCAGAGGTCACTTCCAGATTAGAATAGAAAACCGGTTTTCTTTTTGTGGCAGAGGCAGGCAGGGCCTTTTAATGCCATTAAGTACTAAGAAGCAGGAAGGATTGGGTTTTGTTTGAGAAGACGCAGAAGTTGGGGAAGGAGGGGGGCCTCTTAGCAGGGGATGGGCTGAGCCGGTGGGAGCGCATGTGTCTGTCCCGCATACCACCTGTGTCCAAGCCTTAGTGATGAGCTGGGGGGGCACTGGGGACGTTAGCTTCTTCCAAAGGAAATGGGGCTAGCAGGCCTTTTTGGTAAGTGGGGCTGGGCTCTCTGGCCTTGCTGTTCACAGATTGGGATGCTCCTTCTATACCCTAGGGGGGAGGCCTGTGTGGTCAGTGGGGTGATGGGCCAGGCCCAGGCAGGGCAGCCCCTAGGGGATTCACCAGGTCTGCATGTCTCCATGTACACACGCATCAAGAAACACAGGACAAAATGTAAGAATTACAACCAGGACCTTCGTGTGAATGATAAGCATAGGCCTTTTCACGGGTTCGTCCACGTGCAGCAGACGTACTGGCCGTGTGTGTGGAGGGCAGTGGGCTGGGGCCCTACTGTGTGGCTTGACCGCTGCCTGAGACACCTGCCCAGGCTGCATGGTGGTGGGTCCTGGGGTTAGCGTCACTGCTAATGGCATTTGTGGAAATATTTTACCATTACCACTTAAAGTTTTTAAAGAATGAGGTAGGAGTTGAAAAATCGTTTCTTAAAGATCTGCTCATCTTGAGATCCCTGATGCTGTGGTTTTGAAGAAATGCAGTTTGGAAAACAGACCAGACCTATCTGCAGATGCTCCCCCAGGGAAGGTGTGGCTGAGAAGTGCAGCCCAGGCCAGGGGACACATGCTAGGTCCGTGCCAGGGGGAGGAGGAGGAGGCGGGGAGGGGCCCCTGCCACCTACCAGTCCCCCCACCCCTGAGGTGAAAACAGTTACTACTTTAAGAAGGACTTGTTAATGTTTTCTGGAGCCTGGGAACAGCAGGGCACAGGGTGGTTTGTGTCTCTGATTCTGCGTTTGCTCCTGGAGGCTCGGCACTCAGCCTGCATCCAGCACCTGTGAGCACCTCTGAGGTTGGTTCAGCCCGAGCAGTCGGGCGAAGGTTTCCAAGACTTCTGTTTCAGCAGCCAGGCGAGGGGAGGCAGGCCGCTCAGAGCTCTGCAGTGTGCATTTCCCACTGTGGGGCCCCGGCTGCCCACTTCTCTGTCAGGGACTCGTGGGTGGTGCTGTCTCCTGAAGGTGGCCATTGCATTATGGGAGCATGAGGCTGACCTCTGACACTGCGTCCTGGTTGCAGTCAGCAGAGATGAGGGGTCCCCAGTGGCCACACTCCACCTCCCCGCTGTCCATGTCCTGCCCTTTTGGTCCATTCCACTGCCACATTTAGGAAATTAAACGGCCAGACTGCCTGTTGGCACAGCCAGAGTCAGGCTCACAGGCTTCTGCGTGTCTAACGCATTGTTCTGTGCATTGTTCTGCGTCTGGGGTCTCAGGACGCCCCTCGAGAAGCGTCTCCCCTCCAGAAGCATGCAGAAAGCAGTGTTCTGGTAGGATTATGTTTATAGATGTGAGAACGGTTCTTGGGGTATGTTGTTACTTTGTTTGCATTATGTTGTTACTTTGTTTTTTGCGTCCAAAGCAGTGTGTACAGTGTGATTCCATCCGGTCTGTACTGGCACAGAAGCATCCCCAGGTGGTGAGCTGGTGCCTGGACAGCAGGCTTACGATAGACCCTGATTTCTTTTTCCCATTTTCCCTGGGGGAACCGAACTGGTTGCTCCATGTGAGGTGATGCGTTGGGGTCCCTGTGCCCTGCATCACTTCAGCTCCGACACGTGGTATGTTTTTCTCTTCCAGTGACATCTTCGACGCCATGTTCCCTGTCACGCACATCGCCGGGGAGACCGTCATACAGCAAGGTACGTTCCCTGCTTCTCTGAGCCAGAGTGCGGGGGCTATGGGCCGTGGGCATGCCCAGGGTGTGAACACAAAACCCATTGTCCACCCTCAAGGAAAGTCACTAATGAGACCAGAGCACGTCGCTCTGCACTCTCGTTAACGGAGTCGAACCCTGGGATGGGCCAGGCGTGGACCGCAGGTGCCCCACGACACGTAAGACACAGGTGATCGCGCACGGGAGCATGTGCCGGCCACGTCACTGTGTCCGTGTGTGTCAGACCATCATGGTGTTTGTACAAGTTTTATTTTTTAAAAAATTAAGGGAAAAATGGGTGGGACCCAGAGTTGCTTGGCCTCCATGAAGCGAGGCTGCAGGTACTGCACACAGGGAGGCCAGAGGCGCCCCACGTGGTACCCTCCACATTGTCCACAGTCTCTGCTTTCTTTCGTTCCAGGGGACGAAGGAGATAACTTCTATGTGATCGACCAAGGAGAGGTAGATGTGAGTATCTCTTACCTGCTCTGGAAGACAGCGCCTGTGTCCACGGCCAGGTCAGGGAAGCAGCTTGTGGGCCCTGCTGTGCCGGACAGCGGTGCTGGGGTGTGCAGCTCTGGGCCTACCCCTGCCACTCAGCTGCTTAGTGTGGGCCGTTCGCCTCGTCACACCCACCTACATTCATCTAAGTGCACTCAGGTCCAACAAGATGGTGTCTCTTTGCAAACTGTAAAGTTCTGCGGTCTTGCCCCACTGTCCCCAGCACGCTTCAGAGATAGGATGTGACTGACGGGGAGGAAGTGGCTGGCTTGGCCTGCTCATCCTGATGGGACCCCCCTGCCCACCCCCTCAAGGGAGGTCCCAGAGCCCGGCCCCAGAGCGCCCTCGAGATGGGGTAGGGGTCTCCAGGCTCTCCCCAGGCTCCCTGTGCTTGCTACCTTATGCTGTGCCAGGGGCCATAGCTGGGTTTTCTTGAGGCCAGGGACCCATGGAGGCAGTTTGGGGAGTGGGAAAAGTGAGGTCAGCTTCTTGTAACCAGAGTTCTCCAAATATGTTGTCTTGGCAGGTCTAGCCCCCCAGCCCCGGCCTCAGAGGCTCAGGTACAAAGGCAGCTTTAAGGCGCTCACTGGACCCTGACTCGCCTGGGCCAGGATGTCCGGGCCCGTGGGTGGATGTCTGAGTCCGGCTGTAGTCTCAAATTTGGGCCAGCCAGCCCTTGAAGGGACAGGCAGTGACTTGTGGGGCCGCCCCACGATGCCCGTCGGGGTCCCCCACCAGTTTGTTTGGGTTCCCAGCGGGCAGGGCGGGCAGGGAGCCCTCCTGTGATGTGGGACGCACCAGGCAGTGCAGCACTGTGGGTGAAGGCCACATTTAAGGGAATCAAAAGAGCTCAGTCAGGAATCTGGGATGAAAAAGTGGCCTGTGGGCTAGCTGGGGTGAGTTATGGGGTATGTATTATAATAATTACTGTTATTACTGCTCGCAGATGCTCTGAGGCCCAAGCGCTGCGTTTGTGTGCTCTTTTTTGTAAACTGCCTTCCAGGATGCAGGGGAGCGACCTGGCTGACCTGGCCCAGGGTCGTGCCTAGGACAGTGTCGGGGCTGCTGACCCTGGCTCTTAGGCTCCAGTGATGCTGGTCTCATGGGGGTGAGGGGCTCACCAAGTGCCGAAGCCCCATAGGAGGCATGTTCCCCTGGGACCCCAGCCTGGCCCTCTGCCTGGCTGGGCTCGGGGGTGGGCATCCTGTGCACGCCCTCCTCTTCTGCAGTGTGGACGCTGCCCTCTGACCAGCAGTGCCCTAGGGGACTGGCCAGGTGACCAATGCCAGAAGCACCAGGTTCAGTTTAAATTATGGTTTTCCAGAGAGACACCGCAGTGTGTGTGTTGCCAAGAGCTATAATCCATTTTTCTAAGTATAAAAATATCTTCCAATTTGTTTTATTCATGGAACATAGCATTTCTACTTAAAAGGATACTCAGCTGCCGATTTTAGGGCTCAGGAACATAGTTCTGTCTGAGGCCTGGCTCCTCCCTAATCCTGCGAGGATTTCACTATTTTGGGACCCTCCTTTGTGCTGGGACCCTCCCGCCCTCCAGCTCCGGCCCCACCCGGTTCCCAGCCTCTGAGGTGGGCATGAGGCCTCTGAGCTGCGTCCCTGGGACAGGGCACCCCAGGGCATGGCCGTCTGGCTCCATGGGTCGCGGTCAGTTATTCAGCGTTTCCCTGGAGCTCTGGTTTTTTGTTTTTTTTGTTTTTTTTAATTGGTAAAATGCAAGTAACATAAAATTTGCCATCTTAACCATTTCTCAGCATCCGGTTCAGGGGCACCATCCCCCCATCTGGCTCCAGAACATTCCATCCCACACACAGAGACCCTGTCCCCGTGACGCACAGACCCCCACCCGCTCCCCCAGCCCCGGCCCCACTGTCTACCCTCTGTGTCTGTGAGTCTGACAGCTCCGGGACCTCGTGGGAGTGGGGTACCTGTGCGTGTCCTTCTGTTTTCTGGTTGGTGTCCCTCCACCTCCCGTCCTCGGGGCTTGTCCCCATGGGGGCAGGTTCCCTCTAAGGCTGTCATGTGGATGGACCACACTGTGTTCCTTATGTTCACGTCAGTGGATACCTGCATTGCTCCCACCCGTTGGCCATCATGCATCTCGCTGCTATGGGTACGAGCATGTGCTCCTGCCCATGCTATCAGGATGTTTCTGTTACTCAATCACTGACTGGTTCACCCGGAGCCGGCTGTGAAGCTTTTCTGCAGTATCTTGGGGCCTTCCAACCCCTGTTTCACCGTAGAGCGCATCTGGGGACCCCAGCACGCCCTTTTCATTCTCTGCTGAGGCCCTGGCAGCCTGGGTGTGGTCAGCTGGTAAGGACTGTCCTCGGGACCTGGGGGACGGGGAACTCAGAGCCACCCCATGTGGTGGTGGCCTTTATACAAACCACATACCTGCTCCATTTTCAGGAGGGGAGCTCGGGGTCCCTGCAAAATCCTACCCTATGAGCACCTGAGTGTGGTTGACGTGGGGGAGGGCCATGCGCCAGGACAGATTCGGGGTTCCTCTGGAGGGGACCTGAATGGAAACAGAGCCCGCGCGGCCCAGGTTCTGCAGACGGGAACTTCAGGAGGGACACCTGTGCGGGCGGGCTTGCTTTGTGAGCAGCAACCAACCAAATACCCCCTGGGCATTTGGCATTTGGGGCTCGAGGTGCTGGAGCCTGGCGGGGAGAGCAGCTCACAGGCGGGCTTCTGCTCCCTTCAGGGTGCCTGTGGGCAGCCCCGCTGAGGGCCTGGGACACAGGTGCCCGCTCGCCGTAGGGCCGCGCCCGCTGCTTGTGCCGGGAGCCTGGGGAGGCGGCAGGAGACGGGCCATTAGCTTTTCCTCACCATCTGTGAAGGCAGAACAGCTGGAGGCATGCCGGAGTGCCAGGTCAACTCCGGGCGGTGTGAGAAACCTGGCCACTCGCTGCCCGCACCCCCCCCCGCCGCCTGCTTAGATTACACGGATAACTCTGGGCCCTGGTGTTCTGTCTCCGCTGCCCAGACGGTTTCTGCCGGCCCATCTTTGTTTCCTGTGGAGCAGAGCGCTGCCCCAAGATGCCCAGGTCAGGGGGGGCAGGTGGAGTGAGGCAGCGAGCACGCCATGTGGACGATGCTCTCTCAGCCCTGGTCTGCATCTGAGGCTCCAGATGCTGGGGCCCCAACTCGGGATCTGATTGAGCAGGATCCTGTGCCTTTGGTCCGATCACCGTCTCCACCTCCTTTTGCGTGGAGCGGAAGCAGCCTGTCCAGTGTGGGCCACGTCATAGCCACCTGCTGCCACGCTGGTCACTGGGCCTCGGCTCCCGGGCTCTGACCCAGCTGCTGGGATTGCTGAGCCCACTGCCCACAGCTGCCTGTTGAGTGACTTCCCCGCTCCTTTCCCCCTCTGGCGGCCCCACCAGAGGGTGCGTCACAGCGCAAACCTGATGAAGTGCCAGAACCTTCTGTGGCTTCCTTTTGCTTCTAGAATAACATCCCAGCCCTTCCCTCCCCCACCCTGGCTCCTGCCCCCTGGGCTTCTCTCCCTGCTGGGTCATGTGGCATCCAGTGCCCTCCATTTCACTGTGGCCCCAGGGCCTTTGCACACCCTGTCCTCTGCCTCAGTCACCCTTCTCCCACATCTTTGCACGCTGGCCCTGGACACATGGGGCCTGGCTCAAGTTCTCCTTCATGGAGAGCCCTCCTCACACAGTCACTGCCGTGGTCCTTCTGAACACTGCCTCCTGCTCTCTTCATGCCCGGAGCGCACTTCATGATGAATGTGTGTTTGTATGATTTTGTGCCTGCTGTCTTTCTCCTGGCTGGAGTCCCCGTGGACAGGAACCCGCCTGCCTTCCCCTGGTGACTGCCAGCAGTTAGAACGTGCAGGGCACAGAGGGGCGCTCAGTTCACACTGGGGGTGATGGACAGATGGATGGATGAATGCACGAATGCAGAACAGCCGGGTGGGAGCTCTGGGCTCAGCCGGAGAAGTCACTGTCAATGGTGGGACCATAAGTGTAGCCCAGTGGGGCCTCCCACCATTTTTCTTCTAAAAGAAGAAGAAACAAAAAATGAAACAAAGCAAGAAGTAGCCCCTTTGCGTGCCAGCTGGGGTGGGGCCCAGTGCTGCACTGGCCGCGGTGACAGAGGCCAGTGTCCCGAGAAGGATGGCCCCTTTGTGCTCTGTGGGGCGGCCTGCAGTGTGTTCCTGGGCCCGTCTGGGGCTCTGCACAATGGTTTTCTCTGACGCCTCGCAGGGAGTTCTCTGAGGCCTGGGCTTCTGGGCAGGAAGGGGGTCCCCGGCGGCCCCTGGTGATGACGCACTCCGGGCCCCAGGTCCCCCAGTTCCCCTGGGTCCTGCCCTGCTTGCTCTGCTGAGCTCCTTCGTCTGTCCCCTGAGTGCCTGTGCTCTTGGGCGTCCTGCCCCTGTCAGCAGCCGTCCGAGGTGTGAGGGGGAGGTCCCCCCCCCAGACTACCATGTCAGGCAGTCTCCCAACCACTGACTCACGTTCCCAAGCTCCCTTCACTGCCCCAACTTGAAGAGGCCCCCCGGGAAGACGTGCAGTGTGCACTGGTCGGGGGGCCATTTGGTTCAACTGTTGGGGAACAGTGTTTAGCAACATCTGCACACATAGGAGTGCCCGGCACTTACCCTGGAGAAGTTGCAGGAAACGTGCGTCCTCCCACAGGACGGGCACCCACTAATCCCAACAGCTCACATCCGGAGCAACAGAAGGATGCACCCTGTGATTCCTTTTCGTGGAGCCATGGTTGCTGGAGCGGACCTGTCACCTGAGGGGTCGCGGGGGAGCAGTGCCGACGTCACCAAGCTGTAGAGCTGGGATCCAGGCACATGGGTGTTTGTGAGTCAGATTTCCGTGGGCAGGATTTCACAGCGAAGCACAGTATGGGGAGGGCCGGCAGGGGGCCGGGTTGCCGGGACCCTTGAGAAGTTGTCACCGCCCCCCTCCCCCACAGTCTCTCGGTCCCCTTTGAGAAGACCAGGAGAGCAGCTTCTGGAGGATGTTGTCTGTGGTCCCTAAAACTCCTGGACCATGCATCCCTGCCTCGTGGGAAGGACAGGACATTGTCCTCCTGTCTCTGGAGAGCCTCGTTGTGTGGAAGCTGGCGACTCCTGTCCTGGGGACCTAGGGGCCCGACCTCCCTGTGGGAGCACGAGAACACAGGCCCAGGAGCAGGCGCTCTGCACTCGGCCAGGCTGGCGGAGGCTGGCGGGGACATGCGCACAGGCCCCTGCGGGCGGCCTCTTCTCTGCAGCTGTGGTCTCCTTCCCATGTAGCTTCATGGTCGGCCGGGTCCCCCGGGACCCTCACTCACTCACGTTACGGAGTTACCACCTGCATGGTGTTTTCTTGCGGATATGCGATTCTGTGCCTCAGTTATTGCCCAGATAATGAGTCATTGATTTCAGTAAGAATGGCGTCCATGACTCACCGCAATCCGTTCTTTCCCGATGCGCACCCATTTTGGCAATGGGCACTATTCTTCAAGCTCATTGACACACTGGGGGAATAAAGCTGCATTGTGTCAATTTATAGTAACGGAATCTGCATAGGCACCGCATAATAAACAATCTGTACTATTCTTGCGCGATACGGAACGTGCAGGGTCAATGCATAGTGGCAGCACTGTGCTGGGTCACCCATGCACGCTGAAAGGGCCCCTCTCAGCTGGGCCTCATCAGCACCCCGGCAGCGACTCTACCGACCCCAGGCCCTGGGAGCTGGGTGCTGCGGCCCCAGGCAGGGAGGCCCCGTCAGCATGGCTCCATGAGGGTGGGCTGGGGGCAGAGCCTGGGAAGGTGTCAGCAGGGGTGCCTGAGGAAGCACCGAGTCTGACCCACCGTGTGCAGCTGGGGAGACCAGCCCCGGGACCCATCCAAGGCAGATGAGGACTTGAATCGAAGGCCGGGAGGGAGGCAGGCAGGCCTTCTGCACAGACCAGGAGCACTGGATGGTGCATCCGCTTCCCATGCAGGCCCGTCTCACTGCCTGCGGAGGGCGGAGACTCAGAGGGCGCCATCGTGCTGGTCCAGCCGCGTGCGGCTCTGCACAGGGTTGGGGGTGAGGCAGGCAGCATGGCTGGCAGAGATCCAGGACAGGCCTGGGCAGGGTGGTGGGAAGTTGTGCCTGTGGGCAAGGGAGTCTGGAGGCTGTGGCCGTATGTCCCCTTCTTGCTGAGCCCCCTCTGGCGGGCATGGAGGAGGGCTCCCGGTACAGGACAGGCCACTGTGACCCCACACATCCCCTGTGACCTCACACATCCCCTGTGACCTTTCTGACGTTTTTTACTCTGTCCCCTGAAGGTGTATGTGAACGGAGAGTGGGTGACCAGCATCAGCGAAGGGGGCAGCTTTGGGGAGCTGGCGCTTATCTATGGCACCCCCAGGGCGGCAACCGTGAAAGCCAAGACGGACCTCAAGCTCTGGGGCATCGACCGGGACAGCTATCGGCGCATCCTCATGGTGAGTGGCTCCCTGGCACAGGAGCTTCAGCAGGGCTGGGGCGGGGGGGGTCTGGCACACAGCCAATCATCTCACAGGAACGCTGGCTTTGTCCAAGTGGGGGTGATAGAAAAGGGCTGATGGGATGGATGAAAAGTGTGGGAGGGATTCTGGAAACTTCTTAAAAGGTAAGAAGGCAGCTAGGAAGGACCCTTTGCCCTTCCTATCTCCTTTCAGCTGTCTGGAATGGGGTTGTGATGGCTGGAGCTCCAGCTGCCATTCTGGACCATGAGGTGACTCTGAGGTTGGAAACCGTTCATCAAGGTGGTGGAGCAAAGAGATGCCAGGAGCCTGACTCTCTGGTAGCCCCAGCACAGCAGGGCTGGACTGCTTGGCCCCAGACGTCCTCATGCGGGGGTCAGCCCCCGGGTGTTTTTGCCCTTGTCATTTTAGGTTTTCTCTCCTGTGCAGCCACATCCACTCTTCGCTGGTGCAGGGTGGGTACAGGCCCCTATGTGGTGGTCGGGGGCATGGTGAGCTGTGAATGGAGAGGCCCTCCCTGGGGAGAGGAGGCAGGCTTTTCATGTGCCCACTCAGTGCTCATCCCACACACACCACCTGCCAGGCACCGTTCTTGGTGCTGAGATCAGGGAGCATCATCACAGGGGCAGAGCCTGCCCTTGGGATGCCAGCATGTTAGTGCAGGAGTCAGAGAACAAACATGCACCTCAGGTAGCGACAATTCCTTGGAGAAAATTACAGCAGAGAAGGGGAAGGGGTGGGGGCTGCTGTGTTATAGAAAGGCCCAGGAGAACTCCTCCTGGGATAGGGCAGCTTTGGAGCCGAGGCCTCTGAGCAAGGAACCAGCATATCCAGGAGAAGAGTGTCTGGGCAAAGGCCCTGCAGCATGAGCTTGGATGCTCGTGGGGCAGTGGGCAGACCACTGTGGATGGGGATACAGGGGTCCTGTGGGGGGTACGGCTCACACAGAGCCCTCAACTCCCACCTGAGTGTGTGGGAGGAGCCCTGCAGGGGTTTGAACAGAGGAGCTTCTGCAGCTGACGGGGCTGTCCCGGAGAGGGTGGAAACCATCCTACTCCGGGAGCAGCAAGGAAGCCAGAAGGCTGTGGGCCGGCCACACTGGTCCGAGGACATCCCAGAGTGGTCGAGGGTCTCCGTCCCTCCCCATCCCTGGGCAGAGGCCACTGGAGCTGAGCACCTGGCCTTTGGAAGTCTCACTCCTCAGCCACCTAGGCTCGCCTGGTGGTGACGGCTGGGACAGGTGCTTTTCCGGGTGGGTCAGGGATGGTATCTGCTAGACCCAGCATCCCACAGGGCCTGGACCCCAGGAGGGGTCCCGACACGTCCAGAGGGAGGTGACCGGGGTGAGCTCCTTGCCGGGAGACCTTGGCTTCCCCCACATGCTCTCCGGGACTTGACTGTCTCCCCGAGATTGGTCTGGACAGTGCAGCTTCCAGGGAGGGGCTGTGATGCAGGGGTGCTTTGGGGGAGGCCTGGGGACAGTCTGCGAGTAGTTTAAAATAGCCTCAGGGCTCAGTCAGGTGGGAGCCTGGAGACAGAGTCCTGCTCAGGCTGCCCCTCTTGGGAACGGCAGCGCCCCTCGCCCATCCTGGTCCCACCACAACACCTCAGTTTTCATGACACGGGGAGAATTCAGTGCAGTCCTGGGGGCGACTGTTTGATCAGCCTCCATGTGCATGAGGAACCTGTCATCCGTGCACTTAGTAAGCATTGACTGAATGCCTGCTGTGTGCCCGGGGCTCTTCTAGAGCCGTGGACACATCAGGCGAGAGCAGCTGAATGTCCCTGCCTCCGGAGCCAAGCTCTCTCCTCTTCATCTTCAACTTGCTAACTCCTGTTTTCTCCAGGAGAGGCTGTGTGCCTCGTGGGTGGGGCGCCCTGAGGCACCTTACCCCCTCCTTCCCACAGGCAGGGGCAGGTTTGGGCGAGGGCCCAGCAGCCTCTGTCCGCCCGCAGTCCCCTCCGCATGCACCTGGCCCCATGTTGCATAAGCTATTGTTTCTCACCATCCCCAGTGCTGAGTCCTTCTCGGTTGTGGGATTTTTGTGGCTGGAACCTTGTATTCAGGGAAGTTCCCAAAACACCGAGGCTGCTGGCACTTCCTCTGTCTTAATTCTGGATCCCTGTGCGCTAAGAATAGCCATGGCTGTGCTGGGAGTTGCATAGCTTCTGTGTCTTGGGAAAGAAAATGACAGTGCTGGCCGACCCGGAAGGGAGTGTCCTGCAGGACAGTCCCCGTGTTTGCATTAGTCCTGGGTTTGGGCGGATTTGGATGCATCCGTCATGCAAAGTGGACCCACCATGCAATTCACTTGGCGCTAAACTGGGACTTGCCAAGGGGGAGATGGGGGCGGCGGGGAACCGCCAGGGGTGTCTCCAGGGAGGAGGCCCCTCCCTATGTGTTCAGGCGATAGGGATCCCAGGACATCTGATCCAGAAGCTTCCCTCGAACGTCCCTTTTCTTGCCTCTGCTGCTCCGTGTGGCATAGGAGCCCCACTGAGCAGGGCCACACTCCATGTCCCCATCTGCAGTGAGGGGGGTCAGGAAGCACTGCCGTCCCCGTCCGTCCCTCCTAGGTCAGGTGTGGGGTTCCCACTCCCTGCGTGAAGAATGGAAAAGCTCCTCAGGCCGCCCCGTACCCGTGAAGCAGGAGTCAAGTGCCAGCCTCTCTGGGACAGAGCGCCCAAGGGGTGCCTCCCGCTTGGTGCATGAATGGACTCCCAATGTTCATGCACCATCCAGAGGCTGGTAGCCCTCCCTCTGTGTCTCAGTGGGAAGCAGACAAGGAGCCTGCTGAGCTGAGGTGGGAAGTCTGGAGGAAGGTGGGGAGGAGCCCAGGTCAAAGACACAGAAAACATAGTGCTGTCTGTCCATTCTTCTGATGGGGAAACTAAGGCCCAGAGGGGGTGAGACTGGGCTAAGAGTGGGGGGCTATGGGTGATCTCGAGTTGGAATGGGAGTGTGCTGATCCTCCCTGTCAGCCCTCCTCCACTGTGCTCAGGAAGGCTCATCCCTGCTATCACCATCACCCCACCATCAGCGCCATCACCACCATCATCACCATTTCTTCATCACCACCATCACCACCGTCATCATCATCATTACCAACATCATCATCACCTTCATCACCATCATCACCATCACCTTCATCACCATCATCATCACCATTACCATCATCACCATTGCCAGCATCATCATCATCATCACCTTCATCACCATCATCACTTTCATCACCATCATCACCATCATCACCTTCATCACCATCCTCACCATCATCATCATCACTACCACCATCACCACCATCACTACCACCATCATCACCATCGCCTTCATTACCACCATCGCCATCCTCACCGTCATCACCACCACCACCATCACCACCATCATCATCACCTTCATCACCTTCATCACCATCATTACCATTATCACCTTCATCACCATCATCATCATCATCATCACCATCATTACCATCACCACCATCATCACCATCATCACCATCACCATCATCACCATCACCACCATCACCACCATCACCACCATCATCACCATCATCACCTTCATCACATCATCATTATCATCACCATCATCACTATCATTACCATCATCACCATCATTACCATCATCACCACCATCACCATCACCATCATCACCACCATCATCACCATCATTACCATCATCACCCTCCTCACCATCATCACCATCACCATCATCACCATCATCAATACCACCTTCATCACCATCACCACCATCATCACCTTCATCACCACCTTCATCACCATCATCACCACCACCACCACCATCACCACCTTCATCACCATCATCACCATCATCACCATCACCACCATCATCATCATCACCTTCATCACCATCATCACCTTCATCACCATCATCATCACCATCACCACCATCATCATCATCACCATCACCATCACCACCTTCATCACCATCACCACCATCATCATCATCACCTTCATCACCATCACCACCTTCATCACCATCATCATCATCATCACCTTCAACACCATCACCATCACCATCATCACCATCATCATCATCACCTTCAACACCGTCATCACCATCACCATCATCACCATCATCATCATCACCATCATCACCATCACCAACATCACCATCACCAACATCACCATCATCACCATCACCATCACCGTCATCACCATCACCATCACCACCATCACCATCACCATCACCATCATCACCAAACTTTGGGACTTGTAGAGCCCAGTCTGGGTTCGTTCTTGCTCCTTTGATCACAGTCTAGGTGGTCACTTGCCCCTCTGAGCCTGCCTCTTCCTCTGGGGATGAGGGTAATCATCCCAAGTGTCTGGAGGACCCACCATTGCCCTGGCCTAAGCACTTTTTTACTGTTACCATCTTTCCTCCCACCTCTTTCCACGTCAGGTGTCTGGTCTGTGGTCACTGGACTCTCCATCCTTTTCACTTCACAGGTGAACTTCCAGCTCCCATTGATGGATAAGGCTGCTGGTGGACCGCACGTCCCTGTTTTCTGAATGTGCCATACTTACCAGTACTCATTGGCAGGGCTACCATGTATAGTTGTGGAGTGTGTACACTGTCCAAAGGCCCTGGGCAGCAGGGTGAGGGGCTGAAGTCCAGGCTGCTCTCTACCTGCCAAGCTGGTGCTGGCCACTGGGACGCCTGGGTTTCCTTATTTGCTTAGGCCACCAGCTCACTGGGATGCACACTTGAAGAAGGGGGTGCCTTGTCTTTTTTTTTTTAAGATTTTATTTATTTATTCATGAGAGAAAGAGACACAGAGAGAGAGGCAGAGGGAGAAGCAGGCTCCCAAGGAGCAGGGAGCCCGATGCGGGACTCGATCCCAGGAACCTGGGATCATGACCTGAGCCCAAGGCAGATGCTCAACCATCTGAGCCACCCAGGCACCCACCTTTGTCTAATTCACATTCAGATTCTAATTTTTGGAGTGGATTTTCATTTCTAGTTCACTTAAAGGCTGATGGGACCTTGTTTGCTGGTTTTGTCTTATTCAGCCAGCTTTTGGTTGGGAAAGAAGTAACTCATTCGCTTTTTTCCCCAAGTACCAGTTTCAGGCATGTCTGGTCCAGAGACTTCACTGATGCTGGCTGCCCCTCTCTAACGCATCACCCACGTGGTTCTGTTGCTGGCCCCAGCGTGTGTGTCCGGGGTAGGTGTGGGGGTGCGGTGAGGCTGCCCAGACAGTGCTCCTCACCATCCTACCTTGGGCACACCTGCCTTCAGCCCATGGAAAGCCGAGCTCAGGACTCTGGTTGGTTGAGTGCTCATTGTGTGGACCCGTCACCGGCCCAGCCTGGATGAGGTTGATGAGGTCGCTGAGGCTAGCCAGGCAAGGGGCAGCTGCCTGGAGGATGGGGGAGGTGCGGGGTGGGGTCTCTGAGGGGCTTCTGAGACATGGAATCCTCAAAGGATTCAGAGTCATTTGGGGAAATTTGGAGATGTTGAAACGATTCAGGCATGAAGACCTACCTTCTCTGTCTTCTTTCTCCTAAACAGGGCAGCACACTGAGAAAGCGCAAGATGTATGAGGAGTTTCTCAGCAAGGTCTCCATCCTGGGTCAGTGGCCCTGGCCCAGTGTACAACGCTCTGTGCCGCGTGGCCTCCTCCAGTCTCGTCTGAGTCCTGCCTGCTGGCCCCAGCCATTTCCACGTTCCCTGCATGCCTGGCAGTTTCAGCGCCCTTGGTGATGTGCAAGCTTGGGACATGCACATGTACGCACCCACACAGGCGTGCTCACCTGCATGCATGCACACATATGCACCCACACAAGCACGATCACCCGCATGCATGCACACATGCCCCCACACAGGCGTGCTCACACGCATGCACACACAGGCACACTCACCCGCATGCATGCACACATGCCCCCACACAGGCTTGCTCACCTGCATGCATGCACACATATGCACCCACACAAGCACGATCACCCACATGCATGCACACATGCCCCCACACAGGCGTGCTCACACGCATGCACAAATAGGCACACTCACCCGCATGCATGCACAATGCCCTCACACAGGCGTGCTCACACACATGCACAAACACGCACGATCACCCGCATGCATGCACACATGCCCCCACACAGGCGTGCTCACACGCATGCACACACATGCACGATCACCCGCATGCATGCACACATGCCCCCACACAGGCGTGCTCACCCGCATGCACACACATGCACACTCACCCGCATACAGCATGCACACATGCCCCCACACAGGCGTGCTCACACGCATGCACACACATGCACGATCACCCGCATGCATGCACACATGCCCCCACACAGGCGTGCTCACCCGCATGCACACACATGCACACTCACCCGCATACATGCACACATGCCCCCACACAGGCGTGCTCACCCGCATGCACACACATGCACGATCACCCGCATGCATGCACACATGCCCCCATACAGGCATGCTCACATGCATGCATGCACACATATGCACCCACACAAGCATGATCACACACATGCAAACACACATGTATGCACACACAGGCATGCTCACACACATACATGCACACACAGGCACACTCACCCGCGTGCATGCACACATGCCCCCACACAGGCGTGTTCACACACGTGCACACACAGGCACAATCCCATGTGTATGTGCATACACCACGAGCTCTGTGTCTAGTCCCTTAGGGCACCATTCTCCTTTCCTCGAATGTCTGTGCCTCATCCCCTCAGCTCCTCTTGTCTGTCCCTCCACCACCAGAGTCACCTCCAGCCCTTCCTCCATGTCCATCGGTTCTGAGCTGCAAGCCCAATTCGGGTTCTAGTAAAGGTGGCCCACTGCGCTGAGCTTCTTCCCATGACCTGTTTTGGTGTTTTCCTAAGTGTGGTTTCTCCTGCTGCATTTCTGCCCTTCCTTCTTCTGGGGTCTGATAAACACAATGGCTCCATTTCTGTTGATTTTCAGAAGTGTCAACAAAATTTTCATCAACAAGAGTTTTTAAGTGTTTTGAAGTTGCTGTACGGTGCGTGATGATCACGTGCTGATGCAGACCAGCCCTTTCTGGCAGAACTTTCAGCGATGGAGCTGATGTTCCTTATCTGTGTCCAGCCTCTGACATGTGGTTGGCGACTTGCACTTTGGACAAGGAGGCTCTAGCCCACGGGAGGGGCCGTGCTTGGGAAGGTGAGGGACAGCTGAGTGCTGAGTCTCCAGGAACCACTGGAAACCACCGTCCAGCAGCACCCCCAGGCCAGGCTGCTGGGTAAAGATGCTGAATGAAGGGTATCCTTGTCTTCCTAGAACATAATGGAGTGAGGAAGGGAAAGAAGCAAAGGGCTGACGCTCATGGATGAGGGCGTAGGATTGGGGCAGCAGCCCCAGTCCCACGGCTGCTCCCCTGCCTGCATGGTGTGAGCTGATGGGGACACTGGGCTTGCCCTAAGCCCTGGAGCAGCCCTGGCTCCCAGCTGGGCTCTCCCCCTGCCCGGTCCCTGCTGTCCGACCACAGAGACGAGGAGAGGGCTCGCTGCCTGCCGTTCTAGTGGAGGACGCCACACCAGCTCGTAGCAAGTTTGGACAAGCGGAGGGAAAAGCCACAGCGGCCGCACAGACCAGCCACAGGAGCCAAAACTACAGAGAAAAGCTCAGAGCAAGCGACACACAGACAAGAACCCAGTTAGGAAGAAAGCATTCCACAGAAACAGCAGACAGATCCAGGGTAGTAGCCTTTCTCAAGAACACAAATCCAGTGAGCAAGCAGTGGAGGGAAGAGGTGGGAGACGCATCCTGGCCAGAGCCTCGGAGGTCGGCTGGGGTCCTGGGAGTGGAGCCGGTGCCGTGTGCCCCCAGCCCTACAGCTTTGCCGTTGGGTGTTTCTCGCAAGGGCACAGAGACACGGCCGCGGACGTTCACTGCAGCAGCTTCCACGAGGACTAGGAAGGGAAACAAGGTGAAGTCAGCCACGTCCTGTGGATGGACTGCAGTCACGCGAGTGCACCAGAGCTCCGGGGTCAATGCAGATCTCAGAAGCAGAACGCAGCACGCGTGGGTGGTGCAAGCAGCCCTCCATAGCATCTGTGAGGCTGTCTTACAGGAAAGCACGAGGCCATGGCCTCGGGGGAGGGAGAGAAGTCAGCTCGAGCGTGATGTCAGGGGGTCTCTAAAAAACAGACCTGAAGGTCAACTGTGCTTCGATAATAAAAGATTAAAAAATTTAAAAAACCTGAACAAATAGATCTGAAGCTATTATGACAAAATATTCATATGATTTTATTCAGGACAGACGGTTATGTTGTTCACGCTACTTTTTTGATTGATTTTTTTCTCCAAATGAAGAAAAGTGGACGAGATTGAGCATGGGGTCAGTCGGTGATGCGCTGGAACGGCATGAGGCAGCTATGGAGCAGTGGTGGGGCAGGACCCCCGTGGAGGACTCGCCACCGGACCCAGGGAGGGCGCCAGGGGATGTGGAAGGACAAGCCACCCAGAGACAGTGCACAGGGTGTCCCCGGCCAGGCCCGAGGTGCCCGCGGTGCCCGTGGAGGGCCAGTGCCCCCAAGGCGGCTTTCAGAAGACCCCGGTCAGGGTGGGTGGCCTGCGGTGCATTTGCTCCTTCACAGGCCATACCAGGGAGCAGAACCCCAAACCCATAGGGAGGCCAGGAGAGGCCAGCTCGTCCTAACGTGGAGCCAGCGCCGCTGCCGAGTCTAGCCACCTGAAATGGCCTGTTTTCTACCCCTTTTGACCTAAAAGGTGGGCATTCCATATGGTTCAATCTGAGGACCGTTTTTTTTTTTTTTTTTAATGATCTTTATTAGGGGAATCTTTTAGAAAAGAATATATCTTACATTGAAAAAAATACCTGGTTACTTTGGCTTCTTTTTCTTGTGTTAAATTCAAGCAAAATAGAGTTAAGAGCTTACGTTGAAAAAGGTGACACAGCTGGTGGGTCACGTTTATAAGAGTATTTCTGCTTGTTTTTCTGTCCGTCCTTCTGTCTGGGTCTGTGACTAGAGACACGGCCAGGTTGTGATGTCGCCGTGGCTATTTCTGGGCAGCACTTGGCAGTTTTTCACATTCTTTACAGTTTGCTGTTATTTCTTGAGTTCTTTGTAGTGAATGTGAGTAATTTAACACAAAACAGTAAAGTAGGTCCGGCAGGGAGGGCACCGCGGGGCCTCTGACCCCACATCCTCGCGGAGACCCTGTGAGATGGTGAGGGAAGGTTCCGGTTCCTCTCTTCCTCTGGTGGTGAAAGCGCATCACACAGCACGCACCGTGCCAGCCATTTCTTGAGGGCGTCTGCCCCCATCACCACTCCTTGGTTCCAGAACTTTCTGGTCACCCCCAGTGGAGGTGATGGGAGGCACTCCCATGTCTCTGCAGGTGCGTCTGGTCTGGACATGTCCTAGGAAGGGATGCTGGGCTGTGTGGCCCGTGTCATACTCAGAGAAGCGAAAATTGGCCGCCTCATGAGCTGGTCCCCACGGTTTCATACGGGCTGCGTGAGGGGTATTTTAGCCCCATGAGAAATCCCCGAACCCAGGACCCTGGGGCCCACAGTCACCTTCCATCTCCCTTTATTGGCGCCAGGCGCTCTTACACGCTCGGGTCAGTCCCCGTCCACAAGCTTGGTACCAGCCAGTGCTTATTCATGGCCATCGGGCGGAGCAACCCCGAGACTAATCTTCGCCCTCAGTCACCCCGGGTGCAGAGAATCCTCAGGAGAGATGTCTGCGGCCGGCGTTGGGAGGCCCTGCTCTCTACCGGCCTGCCCTCAGCTCCATTCCTCCATCGGCAGGAAGGAACATGGAGGTGGCAGAGTGCACTCAGGGCCTGGAGGGTTCTGTGCATGGACACTGGGGTCGGTCTGTGACGGGCACAGAACCAGGCAGGCTTGGGGGAAGCCACCCTGGGGCTCCACATCTGGTGCCTCACGTGGTCTTGGGCTGTGGCTGCCGGCGGGACGCCTGCCTGTCTGTATTCACATACAGTCCAGGTGCAGAGTTGAAATCCCACTCAGGAGAAGGGCCCGTCTGTAGGGGGGACGGTCAGCCCCCGGAACCCTGAGACTCAGGACCCCGAACGCCATGAAAACGCCCCCAGGGCTTGTGTGTCCTGTGTCACCTCAGAGACTGGGTATGGTTCAAAACCCAGGGCAACAAACTGCCATCCCCCCAGTGTCTCCTGAGATTCCTGCTGCTGGGGGACACAGCTTTGCGTGTCTCGACTTTCGGACCCCAGAGTATGGCACGTTTCAGATGGAACAGAGAAACTTGCCGATGGGACAGTGGGAACAGCTTCCCCCTGGTTGTGTGACTCGCAGAGTTACGTGCCGCGTGGCCCTCGGGCCGGCCTGCGTGCTGACTTCCTCCCGAGCACGGACTCGTTCCGTGTGGGAACGCCACCGGCCTCGGGTTCCTGAGCAGCCCCGGCTGTGCAGACCTTTCCGGACGGGCCGGCGGGGCGCGTGTGCCGGCAGCTCCGCAGAAGCTCGTCCTTTCCAATGCGCAGCATTGGCAGGCGTCTTAAAGCAGAGAAATCCCGCTCCTAACCTAGTTCTAAAATAAATGCTTTGCTTTGTATTTTTAGCCGCTGACCTACTTAAGTAGCATCTGATAAGTATAGGCCAGGGAAGGTTTTTCTGCCAAAAAAGAAATAGTTAATCAGGCAAAAGTTATTTTCTTCCAAAGGAGCGTATTGGGTTTTTTTCCTTTTCCTTCCTGAGGGCTAGGGATGGACAATGACGGGGAAGGGAAGGTGCAGGGAGAGGCAGAAAGGTATCTAGAATTCGTGAGCTGTAAAGATTTAGAGCGTGGCATTGGGATTCAGTGTTTTGACCTAAAATAATGGAAGGTGTGCTCTGCCCAGCCCTGCAACGTAAGTGCATTTGCAGTTGAACCGTGATGAATGGTGTTTTTTCTGGATGGGTAATTGCTTCAACCGCTGAAATATTTTAAACCGCGTAGTAGCCCCAGTGCTTAGCCGTGATTGTGTTTTTGCAGGAACACGGGCAGCTTACGTCTGAAGATGTCTATTTTCATGCTGGGTTCACAGGCCTCACTTCCAGCACCCATCGCCTAAGTTAAACCGTGATGCGTGTGAGCACAGTGCCCTATCCAAGACCCTGTCCCCCTGCCGGGGATGGAGCGCTAGCCCAGTACATCCCACCCAACTCACTGGTGGAACGCCCAGGCCTTCCTAGCATGGAAACGCGCTCCCCGTCTCACTGCTGTCTTAGCAAAGGCTGACCCACGGCGCTTCCTGAGAAAGCGTTGGGGTGCAGAGCAGGGGTGCACGCCATGGTGACGGTCTCCTTGTCACCCGCTCTAGAGTCCCTGGAGAAATGGGAGCGCCTGACCGTGGCGGATGCCCTGGAGCCCGTGCAGTTTGAGGACGGAGAGAAGATCGTGGTCCAGGGGGAGCCTGGGGATGACTTCTTCATCATCACGGAGGTGAGTGCTGCCCGGTTGGGGTGCAGGGGACGAGGCGTCCCGCCCTTGCTACTCCTGCATGCACCACCCCAGCGCTCCACCCTCCTGCCTTCTGTCTCAATAACAGTCTCTGGCCCGCACTGACCCGTCTTCTTGCCCTTGAGAATCAGAAGGGTCTCTTCTTAGAAAATGGCACCGTGTGCCCAGGCCCACACGTGTGGTGACTACATAGGACTGAACACGTGTGGGCTCAGTGAAGGTGGGGAATATGAATCCACGCCGGAACCTATAGTTTTGTGGTGTGTTATCGTTGGGGGGAATGCGTAAACTTAGGGCACGTGGGATCTTTCCACACTGTTTCTTAAAACTACGTGCAAATCTATAATGATCTCAAACTAAAAGTTTAGTTTTTAAAAATGGTTCCAGGTTCTCAGCCTGGACATGCATGAGTCCCTTTGACGAGGCCCCGCGACAGCTGGTCTGGGGCTGTAATCCGTGGCGGCCACGCTCAAGCCTGTCACTGACAGGGGCGAGCAGCTGCTGTGGCCGCCTGTCCCGGGGCTAGGCTGGGCTGAGACCCCCAGAGCGAGCCCCCGCCCAGGCGCTGCCCGGAATGAATGGGGGGCCCGCCTCGTGGTGTGGGCAGCCCTGATGACGCAGGGCCAGAGGTATGCTGCCGTCTGTTGGGCTCGCTTCCTCCTCCTCCGGTGCTCAGGGGCGGAAGGATTTCACGTTCATGCTCATTAGAGCACATTCTTCAGCTGTGCATTTTGCCACCGGACAAAGGGAGCCCTTCGCGTGGCAGCGTGGGGGCCTGGCGTGGCAGTCGGCCGTCCCTGCTGGGTCTCGGACACAGAGCTCGGCACTTGTGAGCCACTTTCTTGGGTTAAATTGAGAGAAGGAGAACTTGCCGGGTTGTCGATGCGGGTGGTGAGGTTTGGAGCCCCTCTGCCGGCGCTCGCCCACCTCGGTGACTTGCAGCCCATAAAGCACAAGCAGCACAGATAAGGTCCCGCGGACAGAAACACAAATTGGTTCGCAGCTTTGGGCTCCTGCAGAGCCCTTCCCGAGACGCCGTGTCGGGGCCCCTCCTCTCTGCCGCCACCCTGCCCCTTCCACCCCTTCCAGCAGGAAATCGTCAGAGGCCGTGGAGTCCAGCAGGAGGGGAGACGTGGGTCTGCGGGGGCATCCGAGGCACCGGGAGGTTCCCGGTCATACCGCGAGCATGCTCGTGGGGACCTGGTCACTTTCCCGCCCCGTCCCAGCACCATGCCCGGGACAAACCCTGCTTGCAGGTGGCAGGCAGGCAGCCCATGCACGTGTGTGGGCAAAGGAGGCTGCCTCCAGCCTGAGCTCCTTGAAAGCTGCGTAAATATTTCTGAAGGCGTCCCCAGCGCGGGGAAGCGCTCACAGCGACGTGGCTCGAGGTCATTAGGGCAGGAGGCCCACTCAACACAACATTTCCTTGAAAAGGGAAAAGGAAGGAAGGAGGAACGAATAAATCCCAGGCAGGACACATGCTGAATCTGGCCCACCGTGATGCGGAGCCAGTCGTCGGGGCGGAAGGCTGGCCAGGCTCGTCTTCGCTCCCGGAGGCGATGTTCCTGAGACGTCTGCTGCGGAATTTGGTGGGGAGGCCCCGTGTTTATCCTGTGCGGTCCTCCTGCGCGTCCAGGAGGAAAGCCAGGGCCTCTGCAGAAAGCTTGTCCTGCCTCCAAAGCAGCCATAACTATCGGACGAAGGGGCAGGTGGGGTGCCGTCCCCCCTTCGGTGGCATGTGGCCGACCCCTGTGCCCCCACGCCCCAGACCATCTGACCTCTCTCTTGTGGCCTTGGATGTGACACCCTGTCTGGGTTTGTGTGGGCCTAGCATTTCGCGGTTGAGAACATGAGACTCATCTGGAGGTGGAGGAGGTTCCTTCAGGCACCCCATTCCCCGAATCTGCATTAGATGAGACCGAGTCCTCGCTGCATTCCTGGGCAGGTGGAGTCTGATTCGTGGGAGGGCCTTGGCGACTCGCCAGACCCCTGGGACGTGGCAGCCCTCGCATGGGGCACCCAGGCGGGTCGTGGGGGGATCTCAGACCCTCTAACCCTTGGGGCCCTTAATTCTGGCGCCAGCGGCCATGCCGAGATGCCCGCAGGGCTCGGCTTATCAGTGGGGCCTGGAGCTCCGAGTTCGGTGGCCAGTTGACGCCCTGCCTTGGATGTTCAGCCTGCTGCATCTCCACAAGAGCGGCCACCTGCCTGTGTCCGCAGAGACCCCCAAGTGAGAGCACCCGGCCAGGCTGGCCAGGCCCCATGAGAGGAATCACTGAGCCCTGGAGCTGCCTGTCTGTCCTCCTCAGTTGTCACCACGAATGATGCCCGTGTGGAGCCACCCTCGGGCGGCTCTGATGACCGGGGACCAAGGGGAGGGCGTGATGCCAACTTAAAAGCACAAATCTTTTCCTGCTCTAGGTTTAAATTCATGAACAAGAAGCTGGTGCTCACAGGGCCAATTTGGCCCAGAGACACGTTTGTATTGGCCTGTATGGTATTTTTTAAAAAATATTTGAATTGTCAGTATTTAAAAAATCAAGATATTTCCCATAACAATCCGGATCTCTTCCCTTTAAAAATCTGCTCTCTGACCCCTTGGACCTGCATCCTATCTGGCCACAGCCAGCAGACCTGAGGGGCGGGCCCCTTGGGGTGGGAAAGGGCCCTTTTAGCCTCAGTCCCCACCCAGCCCTAGAGCCTGCTCAGCAGGCCCTTGCAGGCTTGGAGGTTGGTGGCCTCAGTGCTCGTGGTCTCAAAGCCGAGGGAGTAACTCTGGCCAGCCCAAACAACTGTCCATCATTCGCTGTGACCAAGGCTGCGTCCCAGCCAGGTCCAAGGCCACAGGTAGAAAGAGTGTAAAATGCGTGTGAGAGGCGCAGATGGGCAAGGGGCCCTCACAGGACGCCAGGGAAGGGAGCCGTTACCGAGTGTGTTCATCCTGATGACGTGAGCGGGCGCTTTCAAAGCCCAGGATGTGTTGTGTGAGTTTCCGGGCCCCCGCCAGGGACGTCTGGTCAGTGCTCAGCATCCCTTCCTGGTGGGGGTGGGGGGACACAGCCAAGGCCGCACAGCCCACCAGTGTCCGCCTCGCACCCCACTGGCCGGGGTCCTGCTCCTTGCTCCCGAGTGCCGGGCAGGCATTTGCTGCGTGCGCGTGTGCACGTGTGTGTGTGCGTGTGTATGTGCGTGTGCGCGTGTGTGTGCACGCACGCTCGTGTGTGCGTGGGTGCAGCAGAGGCTCCAAGCACGCCGCGTTCTCGTCTGGGGCCCGAGAAATGGAGTGAGTGCTGCTCCCTTCGTCTTACACGTTTATTTCTTCTCTCTCTGCTGCCTTCAGGTGACGCCGGGGAGGGGCCTTCCCGGTGTCGTGCTGGCTCTGGGGGGGCGTCCCTGCTGCTCATCCCTTAGCGGCTGTCGGTGTCTCTTCTTGGGACCGGCTCTGAGGGTGTGCCGGGGGCAAGCCAGGGGATGGTGCAGGGGGGAGGGCGGTGGGGTGACAGTGACTGCCACGGCTCTGTCTAGGGGCTGGGGCCTCCCCGTTGATGCGGGTGGGGGCTCACACACATCAGGGCGGGTGTGCAGGCTCTGGAATGTAATCCTACACTCCCGGAAATGTATTTGAAGTGGTCTCCTTGGCAACTTGGATTTTTTCCCCTTTTCTTCTGTGATCAGCCAGGTCGGGCGGGTCACCCGGGACCCCAGGGTTTGCAGGCATCAGAGGCTCCCTGTTGTTTGCTGCGCGGCCAGAAGAGGCCCCCTGGCTACACCTGCCAGACACACGGGTCAGGCCTGCCAGCCCTGCTTCCCCTCGGCACCCAGTGAGCTGCCTGGGGGCGCCGCAGGTGGGGCTGGAGGACACCTGTCCCTTGCGGGTGTTGCCGGTGGCTCAGGAGGCCGCCTGGGTGGTCCCTGGTTTGGGTGGCACATCAGGCGCCCGGGAGTCGACCCAGAATGTCATAGAACAAAGCAGAAGTTAGTGCTGGTTTTGGGTTTTGTAAAGTGAGCGCTTTCCCCGTGGACGTTGTCCCCTGGGTTAGATAGTCCTGGAGACTCGGTGACTGTTCGGTGGCTGATGTTTCTGTAGGAGCAGAGACCCCCCCACGCCTCACATGGGGGAAGTGAAGTGAGGATGGCCTGTGTTCTTCTAGAAGACTTTGCCAGAGGCGTCCAGGCGCGTGACCTCTCTGGTTTGAATTGTCCTCTCTTCAGTCGGCTGACGGCACATGCGCACGTTGTAACGCATTAACCCCCAGTTCTTGGGACGCCTGTGGATTCCACCGTGCAGTGTGATCCCCTGCCCTGTGGAGACGGCGGGAAAGGGGCCAGGCCCTGCGGGTCCCTTCTGTGAGGGTTAATTTTATGGGTCAACTTGACCAAGCCTTGGTCCCCAGATGTCAGATGTTTGCTCAACACCAGATGTTTCCAAGGAGGTATTTTTCTGATGGGATTAACATTGACATCAGCTGATGTTGCGTGAAGGGGAGGATCTTCTGTGGTGTGGGTGGGCCTCATCTGATCAGTTGAAGGCTTTCTTAAGAGAAAAAAGACAGCGGTCCCCGAGAAGAGACACTCCCTGCCAGCTGCTGGCCCTGTGGATTTTAGATTTGCAGTCCCCACTGTTGTGCAAGCAAATTCTGTGACGTGAACCTCTCCGTCCACACACGTCCCATTGATGGTTTCTCCTCAGAACAGAACCCTGACTGATGCACCTGCTTCTTGGCTTTTCCAGAACAGTCCGGCCTCCCGTGCAGGTGGGTGCGTAGGGCCCTGAGGCCCAGGTCTGGGCGCCAGGTGCCTGCTGACGTACCTGCTGTGAGGAGCACTGGCTGGGGGTTCTGCGTGGCTGGCTGGCTTGGTGCTGCACTTCCTACTTTCCTCAGAGCAACAAGTGGGACCGGGCCCCTGTCTCCTCATGCTGCTGTCTGGCTGAATGTCTCTGCTCCGTTTTGGCAGATGGTCATCGAATGTGCTTCCTTGTG